ACAATGATCAATTAATATATCGTTATTGCGTCAATATTATAATTTTTTACACAAGGATATAAATGTATCATATGTTATATATACGTAAGGCTGTAAGCATAATAGAGAAATTATTAGGAATAAATTTAAGAATTTCAAACCGCCAGAAATTGTGTAGTCCACATGGTTTTTGATGGATTGAAATTCTTATATTTACATAGTTCTGTTCCTAATATTTTTTCAATTGGGCTCATGGCCTGACAATTGTATTATTGAGTATTATATTAGTATTGAAATAATGTTAATGCAAACTTATTTTTACTGATTGTGAGAATAACTTTACCTGAAGCATTTTCCACAATAATCACACATGAAGTTTTCACTATTACACAGTATTCTTGGGTAGTGTATTTTTTGCATGTTTGTCTTCATTCTTAAAGTGTTTAAGCATTCGATGACGTTTCATGGACTTCGAAAAACGGAAACTCAACGAGCATACTTCGCATTTATAAGGCCGTACTCCACTATGAATACGCTTGTGTTCAGTAAGATGACTGTTCTGTGTAAACTTCTTCTGGCATATATTGCACTGATACTTGCGAGCCTTCACTGGCAAATGGGTCAAAATGTGACGATCCAAATCCGCTTTGATACTGTTGACATAACAAAAATCACGTAGTCTTATCCATATAATAGTTCTGACAATGATAAATATCAATTATAATAATATATGTAGATCGTTATTACGTCAATATTAAAACTTTTTACTTAATAATATAAATATATGTTATACGTAAGGCCGTAAGCAATAGAGGAAATATTAGGAATACATGTAGAAATTTCAATCCATCAGAAATCGTGTATTCCACAGTACACTGTTTCTGATAAATAGAAATTCTTATAGTTAGTTCTGATTCCTAATATATTTTCAATTGGGCTCACGGCCTGATATTAATTGTATTTTTGAGTATTATATTGTCATAATGTTAATGCTAATTTATTTTTACAAAAGATAATTTTACCTGAAGCATTTTCCGCACTGATCACACACATACTTCTTCTTTTTATGTTCATTTTGTATATGATGCGATTGTTCATTTTGTTCGAGTGTATGATGTTCCAATAGTATTTGACAGTTGTTTGCAGTTTTATTATTAAAAAATATATATTGTTACGATTTTATTACAATATTGTGTTAAAATTACTGTTAATTTATACTAAAACATTTTTACCTGAAACATTTTTCGCACTGATCACACACAAACTTCTTCTTTTCATGTTCATGTTGAACATGTTTCCGTTTCAAATAGCACGAACTAAAGGAGATTAAATAGAATTAAAAGAAATGATAAAAATTTTAAAAATATATGCATTATTACGATTTTATTACAATATTGTGTTAAAGTTACTGTTAATTTA